GTGCCACCTGAAGAAACTACCGTCGAAGAAGAAACTTTACTCAGTTTTGAGAAGGGAAACGGTGAAGCTCTTGATGAAGTTATTACCACTGATGTGACTGTTATCGACGATAGAACATTTCCTGATGAAGAAGATGAACCCCATATGAAGCAGAAGCTAACGAACGAACGGAGACGTAACAATATTCTGGAAAGTTATATTTTCGTCCTTACAGGATCAAAAAAGACAGGTTAGAGTTTTGTTGTTTGTTTTCACACATGCGAAATTCTGTCACGAGTACTGAGCTTGATGTTCTTGCGGGTTGTTACTATTTTTACAGTTCACAGGCCTACGGGTTCAAAGCATTGAGAATTATCAAAGTGTATTTACATTGCCGAATGGTGCTGGGAGTAGAAACATGGTTAATGATTTAAAAAGGGCTATTGTGTAAAACAGCTATTTACAATTAAAAGAAATACAACGTTAAAATCATTACACAATAAATAGTTATTAAAAACAGTGTCTTGCCCTACAAAAGACTGTACATATGTTTCGGTGTCCTATGACACCATCTTCAGGTCAGATTATGACAATCATAAAACACACGCATTGTAACAACCTGAAGAAAAAATAGAGAGCTGAATATACAGAGGCAGTCTTTATTGTTGAAGTTACTGTTATGTTATCTTATGAAATCCAATAGGAAGCAATGATTTTTTTTGTCGAAAATTTAAGAAAAGTCAGTAAATCGTTTTTTATTGAAAAAGTTCATCAAAATTTGTGCAAAATAGTAGCTGTTGTTATGTCTCCTCCACAGAGGGAGAGACATTGTTTTCTTTATGTTTCTTCATTTTTCTTCTTCCCAGCAATTACAATTATGCTTCACTTCTTTATTTATGAAACGATTGTCTTGTAACTTGGAAGGAATATACCATGATCGAATACATCCAAAATGTTTATATGTAGGTCCCCATTCCGATTTTAAGGGTCAAAGATAAAACATTACAAAGGAACATATTCTTGCCTGCAGTTCCCACATACTTGCATGGTTCCATCAATGCAAATAAGACTTAACTCTAACAGGCTTAATCACACCGATGTGTGATTTGTATCTTTCTTGCGACTTTACAGGGGTAAAGCAATTTGCAAAATTAAGTCTATAAGTCTGATATTTATTTTTATTTTGACCAACCTAAATGAGACTTTGCAACAAAAAGAAAGAAAAAAAAGATACCCCAAGACAATCCCCACAGACTAAGGTGGTCAGGTATAGGATGTTTTTTTGTATGTGTCATAGGTAACTAAAAAAACATATACAAATATTCAAAATGTATGTAAAATCGAACCTAGACACATTGTCTGCATATTTAGAAGGGGGTTGTTATTAAAAATGTTTATTTCACAAAATGCACAAATTTGCTGTGTTGAAGAATAGGTTCGGTTAAGTTTTTGTCCTTGAGAATAAACCCATTTACACAGAAACTGACTCTCCTGCGTAGTATAAGATCAAAATTGAGTATGCTCCAATAGATCTTTCTCACAGACTGTTTCGAGTTGATACTGATTTAAACGTCTATCCGTCCGAAGTATAGACGTTGCAGTTTTTGCTTCATATGCTGTATTCGGAGGACCTTATCGAATGACGTGCATAAGGGGTGGGGCAAATTTCTTTCGTTTGCTAATGTTGGCCTTTCTAGTTATTGTTTATTTTTATAATATAGTAAC